AATCAGCCTCAAGTCAGACATGCAGGAAAGAAGATGAAATACATTTTAAAAAGTCGACTAAAACAAACCAGACAACAGCGATACTTCCAGACACTCTGGATTCACACATCCAAGGCAGCCACAGATTTAGTACATCACGAGGAGACACGACTGTTAATGATGCAGTGGAGTTCAAGCCCTGACTCCAGATTTCATATAAATCGGTCTGGAAAATATAACAAGAAGTTTTCTCAGCTGCTCAAACCCACCAAGAAGTTTTCCCTGTAGGCCACTGCTAATCTGCAGCCTGTGTGACGATTACTGGGAAAGAACCTTTCCTTTAACTGCAATTCAAACAACTCCAAGGGGTGTGGGAAAAGCATCACCAGCATAGCCAGCACCTAATACTGACAAAAGAGCCTCTCCCCTTAGCTCATGACATGCCAGACCAGGAGGCAACACTGTACTGGACAGGACTCAGCACCCAGTGGAGGCAGGATGCTGCTACCATGGCCAATGGGCTCTCCATGGCAGACCCCAGAGCATGGGGCACTATTTTAGGGCACTATTTTATACACTTCCTTGCACAAGTTCTCTCCTTGCTAACACCGACACGCACTGGTCCAGTGATGCTGGCAAGATGATTGTCCTGTGCAATGACTGGCATGGAGTTGTGGGATAAAACCCTACATTTGAGTGATAATACTGAACTGATGCTGCACGCCTGGTAAACCCTGTGCCAGGCACATGCACCCACGTCACAGGGGTGCCCTGTGCCCAGACCAATGCCATTGAAAGCTACTGCTTGGCACTGAGGCTACCATGGAGAGAAGAAGCCAGACTGCAGCAAGAAGCCCCTTGCCTGCTGAAAACCACAAATCTTCATTAAGTTTATGAAAGGTAATTCTGGTATTTTACTGGGGAGGGGGAACATCATTTGGGGAGGGGTGTGCAGTTCATAGTGCCCTGTTTCTGTCCCCACAGGCAGCAAGGGCAAGAGTCCTCATGGCAGTGCTGTGTCTTACAAGTTGTTTTTCCTTCTGCCTGCACACCCCTGTGCTGTTAATTCCAGGTAAAGGGCTGGTGGCAAGAGCTGAAAATAACCCACTAAACATATTTTTGCTTTTTACTAGCCACATATGCTTTGCTTTCCCCACTCTGCTCCACGATGCTCTGATTGATTGAAACTTCTTATTGGCCAACCAACTTAGTGTTGTCAACCTGAGCATCCTGCTCAGATCTCCCATTGGCTGACCTCAGCAGGCATGGGTGACCCTCAGCAGCAGGCAGCAGTGGGAGACAGAGGAGGAGATGGGTAGGTCTGGGAGCTAGACTGAAAGGTGGAGGGGGAATGTGAAAACTGCAACAAGCTGCCTCACCGCCATGGTTTTTGTTGTGTCCAAACATGCACATGCACATGCAGAGCAGCATTTCACAGTGTCAGTGTCAGCAAATGCCCCTTCCCCCTGTTACGTGTTCTCCCTGTGAGGTTGAATTTTGCCATTAGACTCATATTTCATAGCAGAACATTTGATATCCATGAAATAAACACGTTGAAGTGACTTCAGTGACGCCACTCTCCACCAGAGCATGCTCCAGAGGCATTTACAACCAAAGTGCTTTACAAGAACTTGGTTCCTCATGCTCCCAAAAGAGCTGGAGGGATGCAGAAAATTGCAGTGGTTTATGGTTCATTTCTATTTTAGGTCCAGTTGTCCATTAGTCCTACATAGTGAAATACAGAGAGATGTCACAGCGATACCTGGTACAAAGAGAGGGGAATGTTTTAGGACCATACCACGTGATTTTGGCCAGGAGGAGAGACAAGGATGGGCTCTCTCTGTCCTTCAGGCAGGTGCCACGGCTTTGGTGGGTTGTGGCACTGAGCTTGGTATGGTCCCATCCTTCACAGTGGGTTGGGTCTGGTAGGTAGATGTGTACAACGGTAGCCAGAGAGGAGATTCAGAGTGCATTAAGACAAAATGTCTCCAAATGAAGAAGACCTGAAGTGCCCTTCCAAGCCCTGTCTAATAATGACTGGCTCTGAAGGGATGCTGCCCGGCCACGCTCCTTCTTCTGCTCTGTCTTGCAGGAATGTAGAAGATGGCAGAGAACAGTCAAGAATTGTCTGGGAAGGACAACTGAAAGGCATCATGTGCTCCTTTCACATGGCTGCCCCACAGGAATTTGCTGGTGAGTTTTCTAGACAGCTCTCTTTTTGCAAAGCTCCCTTGTAGCCAGTTGGCTGTGGCCAGACAACTTGGCACAGCACCACGTTTCCCTCACCCTGGACCATCACCAAACAGCTTCAGACGTGCCTTTGGGAAAGACTCACAACTCTTCCCTGTTAAAATACAGCAACTACAATGGGAGGTAGAGAGACACCACACAAGCAGTTCTCACTGCTGCTCCTCACATCTACAAGACATGGAGCAAGCAGCAGACCTTTCTTTCTCTGTGTACCCTCTGCAAGCACTTCTTGTGGTTTCGTTGACACTGTCGATTTTTGCACGCTGCTTCTTCAAAGCTGAGTCCCCTCCCTGCCCAGGAGCAGGGCTCCTCAAATGCAAAGGCATTCAGAGCATCCCTTTGCAAGACATAAAGGCTAAAACAGGCTGGACACAGGACAGACAGATGACTATGTCCAGCTCTCACTTTACACCATACTCCATCCCTGCTGAGCTGCAGGGCAGTGGCACTGCTGGCACAGGACACGTCCCCATGTGCCCAGCACACCCCTGCTGCATGTCCACACAACCACAGATGCACTTTCAGATGCCAGGACAGGGAAGGACTGCAGACAAATGAAAACACAATCCTGCACTAGAGATTTCAGATGAATAGGGGCTGGAGGCAAAACTCCTCCAGTTCAGGCCCCTGCTGCTGAAACTCTGCACCCAACACTGGGAGAGTGCAAGAGCTGAGCAGAGAAGTAACCCTGGCTTGCAGGGCAGGGTCTGCTGCCACTCCTAAGTGCTTGATCCTTGGATCTGGTGGTAAGGAAAAAAAACTACAAAGTACTTCATAAATGGCCTCATATTTTACAAGCAGGCTAGGGAGATGATGTCAGGCCACAGAGGTCTAGACACCTTGAGATTTTCATCCACAGCAGAAACGTTTCCTCTTGGATTCAGCTCCTGGAAAATACAGCTAAACAGCTCCCAGGGAACACGCCTGCAACGCTCCATGCTGCTGGAGATGAGTGGAGGACATGCAATGGTTGATGAGGGCTTGCAAACACAAGTTATGCTGGCCATGGCCAGGAAGATTGCAGAGGTGTGTCCCACGTGGCCAGAGGAAGGTGGGTGGTGGCAGGTGTGTTTATAAGGAGACGATGTGCTGAACAGGGAGAACAAACCTGACTCTCATCTGTAACCCCCCTGCACTTGGTTGGTGGTTTTCACACGTACCAAAGACCTGCACAGTAACTAAAGTATTTATTTCAGTTATTTATAAATCCACTGACTGACCATTCAGCTTCAAGCACAGCATTCTGCCTCCAGAGAGCTGGGCTACTAGATCAGAGGTTTTGCTTTTGCTGTCCCAAACTCTCATCAAGGCAACTGGCTGAGAGCCTGAAGCTGCCTCAGACCCCAGCACACTGACTAACGACACGACTGGTACCCAAAGGGCACAGAGCACATCCACAGAGCTTGGCTACTGCAGCAAATCATCCACAGCCCAGCAGCTAACACAATCCAGACTCTGAGACACCACGTGCTGTAAGCTCCTCTCAGAGGGCCAGGATCACCCTGCCTTTCTATGGTATGTGCACCAACCTGGCACGTTTCTAAGCAGTCAGACATTTCCAAAGGGCTCTGACAGCCAGCTGTGGAGTCATCATTCCCTCCCACAACCCAACCTCCCTCCCCTGTCAAAAAAAACCCACAACACAAGCCCTCTGTGACGCTGCTCACCAGTGACCCTGCCATTGCATCGTGGTGAACAGCTGGAAACCCAACAGCCAGAAGCATCCCTCAGGCCACGACACATGGCAACAGAACAAAGAACCAAACAGGAGGAAATGTGCATATAAAATTTTTTTTTCTCCTGGTGTACTGTCAATAAGCTGCAATTTTTCCTTCCCCAGGGAAAGCAGTGAAGTTCTGGAATGATATGATGCTTGGAGACGTCATTTCTTTTTCATTAAAAAAAAAACAAACCCAACCAATCAAAAATTTCCAACCCCCAACTCACAAACTGGTGTTATCAAAACAACGTAAAAGGACAAATCTCCCAACAATGACAACTGAAAAATAAAGGTACACGTCAGCATTTGTAATCAAAAACTACTACATACTGTACTTGGGAAGTCTTCTGGGAAAAGATCATTGGCATCTAGTGAGGACATCACTAAAAGTCTTGTGCATGTGATATGTATGAGACAATGATGCCACTGGAGGGTGGGTGGACGGACTCTTAGGAAACTGTCACTCACAAAACTGTTCCATGACAAGAGAAAATAAAGAGATGTAAAAAGGACTGGTTTTCCCCATCCCCACCCCCCTAAGCATTACAGATTCCTTCTCATTTGTTGGAAACAGCCTCTTCTAGACTCAGTTTATTTGTTTAAAAAAAAAAAAAAAAGTCTTCAGCTTTTGAAGAAGTCCATCAGTTTCTGAGATGCACTTGGTTCCACAGCACCAAGGAGCTTCAGCTCTCTCTTCCCTTTGATAAAAAGCTCCCAGGGGCTTTCAGGAAGGACTGCTGGCTGCAGGACATTCCCAGAGTTGCCATCCCAGGTGAGAAAGAGAAGTGCTTCTCGTGCCCTTTCTTTGCATTCATCTTCTTGAAAAAGTCTCATTGCTCCAGAGGTGTCTGGACCCAGCTGCAGCAGCCTTGTGCAAGAGGAGATAGATGAAGCTGCTCTTTTCTCTTCCTTTGGAGACTCCCATTGAAATTGGAGCCCTTTACAAGAATGCAATTGCTTTATTATTATTTAAAAATATTTCATAGTTTGTTTTGTTTTGTTGTTTTGTTTTTGTTTTTGTTTTTTTTTCAATGGAGTTGTCTTTTTTTTGTTCCCTTTTTCCATTGCTTATATTCTAGAAGCTCTTGGTGACTTCTCATTCTCAATGACAGGGCATTTCTTCCTGTTGTCCTGATGCTCAGAGCAGCTGCCTGTCTCTGGTCCATGTAGAACACTCAAGAACTGGAGCTCAGACATACAGGGGCAAAGGGGAGCAGGGCCTCAAGGAAGAAGAGTAGGAGGACACATATCTATCAAACCTCTACAGACTGAATTTGGTTCATCTGTGCTCTCATCACCTGGATACTGTTAAGAATTTTCTTCTGGTGTCCTGCTAAAGTGACCCCAACTCGCAGAATGTCCCTTTGGGAGAAAAAGAAACAAACATTGTGTAAACATCAAAACATTTTCTCTCAGCAGAAGCAGCCCATGTAGGAGCATCCCCTGGAGCGTGGTGTGTAGGGAGCTGAGGGCTCCACAGATTTATTCCATAAATGCAACAAATGCATGCAAATCTGATGGAACCTCTACCCTTTCTCTCCGACTCTTCCTGACTTATCCTCCCAATCTTTGCATTTGCTGCCTACCTGCAGCACTCCCAGAGTACTCAGACCTCAGAAGAGTGTGAAACCAAATACCACAGGCTCTGCTCACTGCTTGGGAGTGAATTTGCCTTAGGTTTTCTACCCTTGTATTTTTTCTTTCTTTGCATGTTTGGATTGTCTCTCACTTTGTGACACAGTAACCTATTTTTCCATGCCTGGAGACATATGAACAGGATGAGCTAGACCCTGATCAGTGTGAAACTCACTCCCTCTGTGCATACCATGGCTGTTCTTGCCACTTTTGCTTTGATCTGATGAGGCCATGAAATGATAAACTTGTGTTACTTATCATCTTTGCTAAATCAAGGCAATCTAATTTTTACACTGCTTCTATTTTTTATAGATATTAGGTGTCTGGGAAAAACAAAATTTGTGCCAAGAGCATGAGTGTGACTCTGCAGTGGTCCTGCCTCTGACCACCCCAGCTGAGCCTGCTGCTCATCTCTCTTGGTCAATAAATCTCAGTCATGCCATTCTTTTGATCAGGGAATGGATGGTATACATGAGATGTGACCCACACCCCTAAGGATATCCAGCTGCCTTTTCTCCTTCCCTTGAGTGTTAGGAACAGATTTGCTTGTTTTAGAGTCCAAGTCAGTGGGCAAACAGCTCCAAGGAGAGGTGGAAAATGTCCTCCAGTGGCACATGAGCCTGTCCATTTGCCTCCCAGCTTGCTTTAGACCCTGTCTCTTTGTTCAGCCAACAGGAGCATGAGGAAGGGAAGGTGGGCATGGGGCTATGCCACAGATTTACACATTCTGGCTGGTGGTAGCTGAGTGGAGACCACCAGAGGAGCATGTCAGTGCACGGCCCCTGCGAGCAGTGTGGGTGAACATCCAAGCCACAGCTTTGCTGCCAGCCAGAGTCCTGCTTAGCAAACCCACTGGAAGCCTTCTACACACAACTCTGGCATCCAGAATGGTGTCCTTCACTCTGACTTCTTTTTTTTTGCTACAAGGCCTTTCCATTCCCTCCCTTACCCCAGCCAGAAATGCTGAGCTAGGGAATCTTCCTCCATGGATGAATTTGGCACTTTGACTTTTGCTTTTGTTCTGATTGGGAACAAAGCCCAAACTCTCCACTCATGACTGTAAACCAAAGTAGGCCTGTGGCCCTGCACAGCCCTGTGCCTCCTTAGCTTTCTGCCCTGGACATGGATCCTTTGGTGGCCCAGATGTCTCAGCCTGCAGACAGACTAGTGAGAAACTTTTCAAGTAGTTCAGTGTTGAAGCCATGTGGATTTGGTGAACTGAATCAGTCTTCAGCACACATTTACAGCTTGCTGCCTACCCAGAAGGGAAGAAAAGTGTCAAATGGTAATTCAGCTCCACATAACACGATTCCTTCTGTAAAGACCAGCAAACATTAAAAAGTGTTTTCAAGTAATGTTGCAGGATGATTTCCCAAGGAGAAAGGACTTTTGAGTGTCCTTCTTTCTACTTCTATGTCCAGCCAAGCAGGTGAGAAATGTGGAAGAGAGTTTTGTCAAAACTGGCTGGGACATGAGCCAAGGATACCCTTGTGATGGTGCTGAGAGGACTTGGAAGATATTGTGAGGGACAAGGTAAGGAACAAGGACAGGTGGCATCTGAGGGACAGGGAGCCTGCCTGGAAATAATGAGTGTCAGCCTGCCTGCAGAACTGTTTGCTGTTATAGCCACTGCTCACACAACAACGTAGGTGGGGCTGGGCTGTGGTGCAGGCGTGATGGCCCCATTTGGTCTAAGTTCTTCTTCCCTATCCTTCAGATTTTATGGATCCTCTGTTGTAAGAACACAGCCTACAGCGTGCCAAAATCACCCCCAGGGCCCTGAGGCTGTACCAGAGACACAGTGAAACAGTCACAATTGCCATCTGAATTTCCTGGCAGCAAACAAGAACAAAAAGTCAGAAAAGGCCAGTTGGGCCATTTGTGTGATCAGATCCTGATTCATTGGTGGATTTAAAGTCTAGAATCAGGCACCAAATCCAAACACCTGCCTGGTTACCAGGAAGAGACACTGCAGCACTTCCAGATGGCTTCAATGCTGGGCACTTTCTCAGGCAGGGTTTCTACAGCTAACTGTGACCAACCACTAATCTCTCACCAGCAGCATCAAAGCCCCAGCTAGCCCCAGGGGATTTCAAAACCCACCACAAATAGTTTCCAGCTGCCTGCTTTCTCAGAAGAACTTGCTAAGATTTTGCCACTGAGGGATGCTTTGAGTAGATGCAGGACAGCTCAAAACAAACTTGAAACCCCCTGCACTTTCAGAGGCCTTTCTTAAGACAGGAATTTGTTTGCAGTGTGCTTTTCTGCCAATATGTCACACAACCAAGAGGACTGCTGAGTCTAAAAGTGCTCTTGAATGGCTGGAGAATTTTCTGATGCTGGCCTGAAATCTCTGTTTGTTCCATGTTGGCATTTTGGAGCTCCTTGTGGGGGTTTTAGCTCTTGCAGTGGGGGCATGCAGCACGATACTGTGGAAACTGATTCTGCAGACTGGCAGAGCTGGTAGACACACAGTCTGGAGGCAAGACAGAGCCTAGAGAACAGATTAGTTCTGCAGAAATCCAATAGCCTAAAGGTTGGTGGTCCATAAATCAGGACATTTTATAAAAGCAAAACTACATCACACAAAACAAAACCCATGATCAATTGTTGGTAAAGTACCAAGACTTTTCCTTATGCTTTGGGACTAGAATCCTGAGCACTTACTCTACAGTCATCTGAGATACCACATCAAAGGTGGTGAAGCCAGCACTGGCAAAGCTCTCCTTGTACTGGCTCATCTTGATGGCATCCAGCCACTCCTCCACAGTGTTGAAGCTGGTGTAGTCTGGGATTGTGCGATCAAGGAGGGGGAGGTTCATCCTGAAAGGCAGAAATGAGGAGTGAGGGGAGCAAACAGTGGCAAGCACACGTGTTGCTGTACACGTCCACGTGCCTCACAGATGTGGATGTTCCATGTACAACAGCTGGAGGGACCTGGAGCAGCACCATCCACAGTGCCTGCACCACACTGTATTAAGTACCACCCAGAAAGCTCTCTGTTCAGCTGAGGGAAGAGCATGTGCAGCACCAAAGAAGCCTTTCTGGATCAGTTTGTCCAGGAGAGGTAGGAGCCATCAAAGAGTCTGGGATGCAGGGCTAAAATCTTGGCTGCACAAAGGGGGAAAGTAGATTCTCATAATGGGGACAGTGCTTCCCACAAGTTGCTGTACCCTGACCCAGTTCAGGGAAACATCACACTGCCTGAGGAGCCTTTAGTTACCTCCACTGTGTGAAAACTGGGCTACCAAGGCAACCACCCCCCCCAGCAATCCCGTGACATGGAACCAAGGCACCCCTCTGTGCACAACACACTGTCCAACAGAAGGCTCTGCCAGTGAGCTGTGTCCACCAGATCCAACCTGTCCAAAAAGAGGGACTAGAACGACCCCAATGTCTTTTAATGCCCTTCCTATGAAGGGCCCAGCACAGGCCAAGCTGCCTCTAAAACAGCCAGCCTAGAGAAAGGCAGGGGTGGTGCCCACCAGGACACAAAGAACAGCAGAACCCAGGTAGAAGCCAAAGGACAAGAGGAAGACAGAGGAACACACCCAGAGGAGAGAGGTGCCATGGCTTTCAAGCTGTTAGGATTTCGGATCATTTTATCTAAGGTGTTGACAATTTGCCCAAATTTGGGTCTGTGGTTTCGGTCCTTCTGCCAGCAGTCGAGCATGAGCTGGTGCAGGGCGTTGGGGCAGTCCATGGGTGGTGGCAGCCTGTAGTCCTGCTCGATGGCATTGATCACCTGCAGGAGGAACAGAGGTCAGCACAGCTCAGCAAAGCCTATTGAATTCATAATGCCCCTTTTCTGGGATCCCGGGGGTGGCTGGCACAGACCACCACAGTGCAGTGGGGCTGCTCTGCCTGCCCGTGCAGTGATGCCCATCAGCTCAGCCACCACCCCCACCACTCTGCTGCCAGCCCTGTGCATGTCCTGCTGCCCTGTCAGGGACACCTGGCTCAGCAGACTTGCTCTGGCTGCTGCTTTGCTGGAACACATGACCAGGGAAAATGTCTGCTCTTGCAAGGCTCAGTGGAAATACCACATGCAAAGGGCTGGAGGACCTTTTCCAAGGGGGACTCCATCTCCCTGTCACTCTGCACGTGCAGCCCTCCATCCTTTCTTGGGTAATCAAGCCACGCAGCTTCTTCCAGGGGCACATGTTCTTCTGACAGAGGCTTCTCCTACCTTCTTTGCAACGTGCAGCCTATGGTCTCACACACAGCACAGGCACTGAAAGGTGAGCAGAAGGAACCTTGGACACTAGAAACAGGCTTCTGTGTGCCAATAAAAACTATAACTGAGGATACTGCAGTAAATAAAATCAGGGGCAGCATTTTGAAATGACCAACTCTCTGCAGAGATGATAAAAAAGTGGAGGTAGAAGCTCCCTCAGGGATCCAGAGGGAGGACCCTGACGTCACTGGCTATTCTCAGCATGTGATCAGTGTTGCCATGGCTCTGTCCAGCCATGTTTTGCACACTTCCACAGCCAGAATTCTTCCTGGTGGGCTAGCCCAGGGCTGTACCACCCTCCTGGGGAAGGACTGGCCAGACCCACACGGCAGCATGGTGAAGGTGTTGTTGAGCAGTGAGGCTACACAGAGAAAACTGAGAATGCTCCAGCTGGGACTAGGAGAGCAGCAGGGAAGGGCTGGTAGAGAGCAGACACTGGGGGTGCTGTGGCAGTGGAAGGCTGCTGCCCCAAGGGAGGGTAGGTGGCAGAGCCATGCCAAGCAATCTGGGATGTAAGGGAGGGCATCAGGCAGGGTTTAAGATGGACTGTAGCTTCAGGCAGAGAATGGGTCTGGAGGGTGCTCTGGGCACTGATGGGCATGGCCAAGGTGTTGGGCAGGTGACCTGAGACAGATGGGGGCTGGCACTGCTGCTGCCAAAATGTGCCAGGTGGAAGGAGTCCTCCCTCCCCTCTGCCCCTCTGGCTGCACATGAAGGTGCCCCCTGGGCCTGTGAAGGTCCCAGCTGAGGCATTGCTGGTGTGCTTCATGGAGCCCTTGGTTCCCGTTCAGGAACTCTCCCAAGAGCTGCAAGCTGTGCCTCTCCCAGCTCTCTGCATGGCAGATCTGTCTGAGACAGGGCAGAGGAAGCCTGGGGAGAGCTGGGCTGGGGAGGGTCACCATGGGAGCAGCAGGTGCCCATCTCCAGCAGGGATGGACTCCCAGTAAGCTGCCATCAGACACTCCCCTGAGGGGGCACAGGCTGCATGCTCTCCTCACCCCCAGGCACTCACACCCCAGAGTCAGGAGGCTTCATCTGCAGCACACATCTGCCACATGCTCATCCACAGGGAGGACCAGCTGTGGGCAAGTGACAGCTTCTGGGCACAAGTGTCCTGTGAGGAGCTGAGGGCAGGTGCCAGGCTGTGCAGAGGAGACAGGCACAGGCTCTGCCATCCCCACGGCCTGAGCTGCTGCTGCTGCAGCACAGCACCTCCAGCAGGAGAAACCACTGAGGGAAGAGGTGCAGGGAGGGAGGACAAGGGAGAGGCATGGCAGAGGGCTACATGGACACCTGGCTGCAGGAAACACTTGAAACCGTAGGCAACAACAGAGCCTTGAAGGGAAGGGGGTTGTCCTTTCTGAGAAGGGCATACCCCTGGCTCCCTTCTCTTTGGCTCAAGCAATTACTGCAAAGACTTTCCAGGTACCCAGAAGCAAGACCAAGAACAGCCAAAGGTCCTGAGATATCAAGTGTCTGCTCCATGCCCTGGGGAGCCATTTGAATCAGCTCCCCAGCAGGCACTAAGGAGGAAATTGTCCACTCTGGAGAAACCTGAAATGGCATGGATGGAGTTATATGGACTGGGAAAAGGCCTGTTTTGCCATCAGGGTGGGAGGAGTTGCAGATGGATTTTGGCTCTCACTTTCTCCATGTAAGGCAGATTTTTTTCAGGAGCCCACAGGATGATGGAGATGGAGGTGGGACTCTGAAGGCTCACAATGGACTGCCCAGAGGCAGCTCTGGAACAAGCTGGTAGCCAGGCAGATGCTGTAACATGCAGGTTTGCAAGACCCAAGCTTGCAGCAGAGGGGAGGATGAGCCTTCTGTGCACCAAGGGTCTACTTGGTGCACCTTGGTGTTAGATCCTGGGGGCTCAGGAGGTGAACACAGCACGAAGGGCAGCTCTCCAGAGAGACAGTGTTACAAGAGACTGGGCAGCCCCACACCAAAGGGGTCTTCTAGGGACACACGTGCAGATGTAGCACTCTGCATGGCATTCTCTGCCACAGCACGGCTGGGCTTTGACCACTCAGGCACCAGATCAAGAGGAACAAGGAGAATGGCAGAGCTGTGGTGAAGGTTTGAACTTCAGTCACTTGTCATCCTCGCCATGGAGGCAAGGACTCCTGGAAACTGCCTAGGTCCCAGGGAACAAAGAATGCATCTAACAGTTCCATCTGAATTAGAGTCACAACACATTTGTAATTAAGCACATTCTGAAATACCTGCTGGGTTTGGCTTCTAGCTGCACACAAGTTGCTTGGCTTCTTAGACATCACAGCCCAAGCTTGCTATTGGAGACTTAATGACCATCTAGTGGAAGATGTCCTTGACCATGGCAGGGGGGTTGGACTTAGATGATCTTTAAAGGTCCCTTCCAACCCAACCCATTCTATGACTCTGTCACTGACTTTCACTCCACACCTGTGGTCTCCTGCTGCTGCTCCAGGAAGTCTCAGGCCAAGGGCAGCATTTCTTTTCCCACCTGCCCACTCCCTCTGCTCCCCGTCATCTGTCTGCCACCCCCGGGGGTGCTCACATTCACCCTGCCCCTCTGCAGTAGATGTTGTACAGTCCCCAACCTCTGCCACAGCAGCACAGGGGGACCAGAACAAAAGACAAAGTTATTCCCATGACTTCTTCCAAAGGTGTTGACCTCGGACACATCTCCCATGCCAGGGGAGGCTCCGGACAGGCCACAGGCTGGGTTTAGCTGTAGCCAGGCTTTGGCCTCGCAATGCTCCCAATCTCAGTGTTTCTCTTCCCTGTTTCTAACAACTCACATCTTGGTTGGTCATGTCCCAGTAGGGCCGCTCGCCGTAGGACATCACCTCCCACATGACTATCCCATAGCTCCACACGTCGCTGGCCGAGGTGAACTTGCGGTACTGGATGGCCTCAGGTGCCGTCCACCGGATGGGGATCTTCCCCCCCTGCAGGAGAGACACAGAGAGGATGGTGAGCAGGACAGGAACTGAAAAAGAGGAAAATCCAAAATATCTGCCTCCGATACGCTCCTAAGATCCTAGCAGGAAGGGAGCAGAGGACTGCCCCTAACACTACATCAGGGTGGCCGTGGCTTGTCCAGTCAAGTCCAGGAAACCTTCAGGTATGATGATGATTCCCCCATTTGTCTGGTGACCTGTCCCAGGGCTCCACCACCCTCCCAGGGAAGAAGCTTTCCCTGCTGTTCACCTTGAACCTCCCACGCCAGTTTTGTCTGTGACCCCTTATTATCTATCATCTGGTAGCACAGCACAGAGGTTGGCACTGTCTTCTTTGTAACTGCCCTTCAAGTCCTGCAGGTCTCTTATAGGTGTGCCCACAGCTTCTTCTCCATCATATGAAACAAACCCAGCTCCTCCCACCTGCTCATGGCTGTAGCAATCTTTGGTATGGCAAAATGCCCATTCTGCTAGGAGGGTCTTCTGTGGAAAAATCAATGTCTATGAACATAGAAAAATCTAAACTGATCATCCCCTTTGAATCTCCCTCCATCCTTCTGCTGCCACCTAGCTATCTCCTGAGCAGAATAAAGGGAATTGGAACACCATCCTCTTCAGCCTTCTGCATCTGTAGACTCTTTGAAGTCAGTGATACATCATCCTCTTGAGTTGAAGTCCTGGTGTGTCAGTCTGTTGATAGATACATGGTCTAGCAGGTTTGGATCCTGCTCATTTCTGGAGGCAAAGGTGGAGCAAACATCTTCTTTAGTATGGCATGCTTGGTCACTGGTGGGAAATGGGATGGACTAGGTGGGCACTGGGGTGCCCATCATCCTGCTGTGCAACAGCAGCTCTGAAGAAATCAGAAGCACCCCATAGAGGAGTTATGTCCCAAAGTGCACAAGACTGGTGTACACAGCACATAATGCTCTGCTCAAGCCCTTGCAGCCTCCTGATTTTCCACCAGAGTCTTTGGACTTCAATCATTCACAACTCAAGGGACCTTCTGAAGGGAAAATCTTCCCCTGTGCTGAAAATTAAGCAAAACTGTCTCTGTTTTGTGGCTGTGAGAAGGTTAAAGAACATTATAATTTGTCAATTAATAACTACCATGTCTTATCAGGAGTCTTCCAGGATTTAATAGGACTCAGACTCTGTATATGCTACAATAATGAAAAAAAGATAATGTTTCTTAATCTTCTCACAGCCACAAACCTCAGACAAAATACTTTATTTTCCACAAGATGGGGAGATGGAGCATTCCATACCAAGCATAATGTCCTTTCCACCAGGCATACTCCTAACAGAGCTCCTGACAAGTGGTAGAATTAAACAATGGCTAAAAAAGGAGAATAATAGAATCATAAAATGGCTGAGGTTGGAAGAGAACCTAGAGATCATCCCATCCAATCTCCTTGCCACGGGCAGGGACACCTCTCAACTAGACCATGTTTTTCAAGGCCTCATCCAGCCTGGCCCTGAACACCTCCAGGGAGAGGCATCCACAGCTCTCTGGGCAACCTAGTCCAGAGATTATGAGTACTGAGCATATCTGGAGGATCCCTGTGGGAACTCACTTCAGTGAGACCTGAACCCACCTTCTGAGGAAGAAGATTTTCCTCAGATCCAAAGTGAACTTCTCAAGCCACAGCTTGTGGCTGTTGCCCATCCAAGGTCTTTGGGATAATCATAATAAAAAGCATTCATGCATTTTGGGATGTCTGAGAGTGGTGTTTTCTAAAGAAGAAGACACTATTACTTCTGGTACCCTGTTACAGCAGTTGCACATATTCTGCCATATAATGTATGTCCTGCCACAGTGCCCACACATCAAGAAAAATACATTAGAGATGACAGAGAGAAAAGCTACAGGCACAATAGCAGGGAAAGAAAACAGCAATAAACACCACAAGCTCCCATGTATTTAGCTTAACAAAGGGAAAGTAAATCAGATGTAAGGATCATGTGAAAAATAAATGTTGCTCATGTTCCTAAAGCCACAGGGACGATCCAACGGCTGATGTTTGAAGCTACACAAGTTCAGATGAGGATAAAAGCTCACATTTTTAGGCATTCAACTGCTGTTACAATTCACTAAGAGCTATGCCAGACATCACATCACTGGCAGCCTCAAAAGATTGGGGAGAGACGATTTCCTACAGCTCATGCCCCAGCTCTGTCAACACTTGTCTCCAAGAAGCCCTCTCGTCGATGTGGCACGTGGGCACTGAGCCTCCAGCACCACTGCAGAGTACCACTGTGCTCTGCTTTGCAATAAATGGTATTTATGAGAACTCTTGCCTGCAATCTCACTGAACAACAGCAAAGTCTGGGTCACTGGCGCTGTGGCATTCCTGGGAAGCTGTTATGTGATCATGAAGCCATTTCTGGGAATGTTTCTCTGTCTAATTCAGACAGACGCTCTGGAAAGATCATTATCTAGGTCTGCAGGGCTTCACCCAGCATGTATCCATACTTGGGTCTGTCATTCTTGGGCCTGAGCCCATGACATGACAAGAAAAAGGCTCCTGGCCTCCCAGACAGCAGGGCAGAAAAATTGGACAGTGATGGTAAAAAACCCCACAGACTTGCTGCCCTGGCAACAAATCTATCAGGGCAGCATCTGGGAGGACTCCCAACTGGGCCACACTGGGCACACAGAATGCCTCATCTCAGCTAGGGGCTTTAGCAGGGGCATGGGGCTGGTCACAGACATGTTTGGACGGAGGCTCAGTGCCCCACAGGAGCGACTACAGAACCCACCAACAGCCACTGGACAACTGGACAGGACCTTGCCAGAGAAAACCTTCCTTGGTTCATTTCATTGGGCTTCCCCCCCGGCACCTTATTCCCATTGTCGGTGCCCTGAAAAAGTGCTCCCCATGCCCAGGGGGGGATCTTCCCCTTTCCCCCTCCCTCTCTGGCTCGTTCCTGCAGCACCTCTCCCCTCCCCTCTGGAGGAGCAGCGTTACCAGGGCGCTGGTGTAGGTTGGGTCAGAGGTGTCATCCTCCAGGAAGCGGGAGAGGCCGAAGTCAGACACCTTGCAGACCAGGTTGCTGTTCACCAGGATGTTGCGGGCAGCCAGGTCCCTGTGCACGTAGTTCATGTCTGCCAGGTACTTCATGCCCGCCGCGATGCCCCGCAGCATGCCCACCAGCTGGATCACTGTGAACTGCCCGTCGTTTTGCTGGGGGAAGAGAAGAGTCCACGTGAGAAGAGCCAACTCACAGCCTGACATGGTCCTGCACACAGTCAGGAGCTTCTCCCCGTGCTGCGTGCCCAGACACAGCCATGGCACGAGTCTGCCAGTTCCCTCTCAGAGCAAGAGGGTGGTGAGTGGAGGTCACCCTCACAAAAGCACCGTGGGCATCACTGCGATGGCTGCTGTCACCCAAAGGTGGCAGATCCACCACACCTCGTGCAGGAGGGTTCTGGAGGAGCCATCTATTCCTGTTAAGGAGGTTATCTCCCTTCCACGCAGTGAATCAGCCAATTCAAACTCAGGCCTATAAATATTTAGACAGAGCAGCTGGAGGTGAAGTCCTCCTGTGTTAAAGCCACCTCAGACTGTCCCTCCATGGCCACAGAAGCAGTTTGTACTGTAGGCATGCATACAGGCAGACACAGCCTTTTGCTAGTAGAAGTGGACAAAAGCACCCAAGAGATGACAGTCTTGGGGCTACCTCCACCCCTGCTCCTAAGACACAGACCTCTGGACTATGCAGCAGCTGCCCCAGTAGCAGGGGACGCTGGGCAGTGAAGGATATTGTTATATTAGCACAAAGAAGAGAACCTCCCTCTCCAACCCAAGAAAATCTCTGGAGCTGCAGGCTTGTGGCATCTCATACCCGTAAGAAAGAGTCCAGTGAGCCATTCTCCATGAACTCAGTAATGATCATGACTGGTGAACTCTTGGTCACCACCCCCTCCAGGTGGATGACGTTGGGGTGGTCAAACTGCCCCATGATGCTGGCTTCACTCAAGAAGTCCCGTCTCTGCTTCTCTGTGTAACCAGACTTCAGGGTCTTGATGGCCACAAAGATCTCTCTTTTGCCAGGAAGCTTGAGGTGCCCACTGCAGACCTCACCAAACTCCCCTGGGGACAGAGGGGAACAGGTATCAGAGAATCATAGAATGTCAGGGGTTGGAAGGGACCTCTAGAGATCATCTAGTCCAACCCTCCTGCCAGAGCAGGATCACCCAGGGCAGGCTTCACAGGAACACATCCAGGTGGGTTTTGAAAGTCTCCAGAGAAGAAGACTCCACAGTCTCCTCAGGTAGGGCTTGCCAGCACCCCAGACCTCTGCCTTTCTCCCCAAGGGACCCTGCTCCCACCAGCTCCAGCCATGCCCATCCCGTACGCCCCTGAGCTGACCACCCACCATCTGACCTGTGCCTCCTCCTTCACCCTACACCAAAGATCTCCCTCCTTCACTCCACACCAAAGATCTCCCTCCAGGTGGGCTCATCATTGGTGAGGAGCACTGGACATGGGACTATATGCACATGAGAACTCCCTGTCTCCAGCACTGGATGTACTTGCTCCTCCAGCACTGGAGCACCCTGTTCCTCCTAGTCTAGGCTGAGGCTAAGTGTAAGACCTTACTGAAACTAGTACCCCTAAGGCTAAATCCTCACCAAAGTCTGAGACCACAAAGGAGACTCGTGCTGCTGAGGGCCAGCCTGTCATTCCCAGTTCACCTACCTGCCCCGATCACTTGCTCAATTTTGACACAGGAGATATCGATTTCTTTTGCAAATTCCCTGACAGCCTCATTGGGATCTTCGTAGGTGAATGGATCAATATAGATCTTCATCCCTGGTGTCACTGCATAAAGGTGAGGGAGACGGTCAGACAGGCAGGAGCAAATGGTACAACTGATGTCTGGCATCAAGGAGAAGAGAAACCTACTTGTGTGAGGGTCTTTTTTACCTCAGCAAGCTGCACAACCACGTGCATGAAGCAGACACAGCAAAGCAGTTTCAGAAACGTGCAGAGCCACGTTTGCACAGGACTATTAGAGCTGGATTTAAGGAATATTGGCCCATAAGCCATTGCTGGGGACTGGAGAGCTGTATTATTAGCCAGGACTGCAAACTGTGACCCCAGAGAACCACACACGCTCTGCTGCAGTACTTGGCTTGGGCACATCCAGAGGAAAAGGGAACTGTTTGCTCCACGGTGCATGGCTGCACCAGTGTCACCCCAGGTCCCCTGCCACAGCCCTGCAGGACTGGCTGTGGATACTGCAGCTCTGCCCCACTGGCCCAGAAGACACCACAACGTGTTTATGCAAAAGGCAGTGGCCAGGGGACGTGGTGAGGCTGGACTGCTGATGCCACATGGCACCCTGCCCACCCCATGGGGCAGCTCTTCCTGCAGCCCTGCAGGTCTCCCCTTCCTGTACTCACCTCACTAGCCAACAGCTTGCCCCTGGATTGGGAGTACTTGGAAAGCAGAGCTCACAGCTCCCTAAATAAGGAGCCCAACACAGAACCAGAAGCACAATTCTACATGCAGGATGCTGGTACAATTCAGGGGAGCTGCTGCAACGTTTACAGGCTCCCCATGCCTTGGCAATTTGCTAACCATAAGCTGTAGCCTCTCTACAGCAATCGTGGCTGGGGAGCCGAGCAGGGACAGTGCCTTGGGCTGGTGTCTTGAGTGACATGTGGCTAAAAGGCACCCCAGGCCTGTTATGAGTTCATCTGCATCTGGTGGCATCAAGCCTGTTCCAAGAGTTGTGAAGGCACAGCTCTTACTGCCATCCCAGCCTGGAGCTGCCACGTTATGCCCCAGACCCCAGGAGAAGGTGTGAATGTACGTTTGCACTGACAAACAGCTGAGAGCTGCATCTCCATAATCTTTCCTGAAGAGTGTCATTTTTCCTGGTAAGCTCTAGTAATGCTGCCAAGATGCTGCTGCTCAGGCACAGAGCTGCAGGGCAGGGCTCTGCCTTTTGGGAAACATTTCCCAGGTCAGTGCAGAAGCACCAGCGAGTCCTGTGCTGAAACAGCACCCGTGTTTTCCAGTCTCTGAACAAAGCCCAGGTCTGTGCAGCAACAAGGTATGAAAAGGATCAAAATTCTGAAGCTGCAGCAATAACATGATGTAAAGAACAACTGAGGTTGGAACAAAGCAGGATCAAAGTGACAGGAGCCTAGTGAGGGAGGAGAAAGCATTTCGGAGGGCACGCAGCCAGGGGGGAGTGAAGGGAAGAGGGATGCTCTGGGGTGTGCAGCAAGGCTGAGAGTGGGAATGGTGGATGTGGGGGAATGCCTTGCAGTGCACAGGGATGCTGGAAGAGAGAGGCTGCAAAAGAGGGCATGTTATGTTTTGTATTATACCTATAGATATAGATATATCTCCTATCCACTAGGATTCTGGGAGCAGTGGGATGGGCTCTAGCAGAGGCACCATGAGGTATGTGGGTTCCTGCAGAAGCAGAGCACTCTGCAGAGGGTGGGTAGGTTGGGACAGGGCTCTCACTGCTGCCCACAAGCTGTGCACAGCTCAGGAGTCAGACTAGGTGTGGCAGCAGGGGCTGCACTGCGGAAGAGGGGGAGGCTGCAGGGGGGGTGTTGGATGTCACAGCAGCTTGCAGAGCGTGCAGGGGTGTTCACTGCAGAGCTGACACCCGGCCGCACGCACGTCTGGAGAGCACAGACCCCACGAGGTCACAGGGGATGGGTGGGGGACATAGACAACGTGAAGGCCCTCCTGTCTACAAATGCACGTCTGCCTGGCCAGGTGGCCTGAGCCCTCCCCACGTGCCACAAGGAAGGAGTGAACAGAACACAACCCGAGGAGGGAGCAGAGCCCCAGCCTGGCAGGGGCCCACGGTACGTACTGTGGCCACTGGTGTAGTGCTGCAGCTTGTCGGTGTACTCCGAGTCAGCACGCTCAAAGCCCCGTCTTCTGGAAAGAAAGAGAGTCCTGAGCACCAAGCATGGCCCCATCAGGACTGGGAGACACACAGCAGGAGCATCTCCTTCCCCCTTCACCCTCCTGCGCCCTCCCCTCGCCACCCCCCGTCTCCGGCTGTCACCTCCTTGCACAGCCCCAGCCCTGGGGG